ACTTTTGGTTAAAATTAAAGTTATTCGGGGGTAACTGGTTTTTATAAAAGTATTAATTTCTTGAAAGTTTGTGCAAATCATAATTAGAAATAAATTGACATGAAAAAATAATTCTATTTTAATTTTTCGTTTTTGAAAAAGTTGCGGACTTCAGCCTCATAATTTATTTAATTCAAAATAAAAATTATTTGATTCAAATAAAATTTTTTGAAAAAATTTTTAAATTCGATTATTCTTTTAAAATAAAATAATTTTATAACAATTTTATTAATTATTTCTTTGTACAGAATAAAATGATTTATATTTCTGATAACTTAAGTATGTTATAAATGTTTATAAAAATGTGCAAAATTTAAGGATAGGAAATCACGTTTCATATATATTTAAATTAGATTTATTATAAATATGCATTTCAAATTCAAATGATTAAAAAAAATTTAGTTTTAATTTATTTTTTATATTTATTTAATTTAAATAAAAATTATTTTTAAATTTGAAATTAAATTTTTTTTTTAATTTTCTGAAAGCTGTTATAAAAAATTTTCAAATAATTTATAGGTAATCGAAGAGGTTATGTTAATTTAAAAAAATCAAATCTTCAGTTTTTCTTAATTTGTTAATTACTTTGTAAATAATATTAATGTTCATTTAACGTTCTTGGACTTTTATTTTAAGGATAATTTTCTTTAGAATTGAAAATTATTTGTACAATATAATTGTGAATTTATTAATTCTATATTTAATTTAGGAAATTCCCTCTTTTTTCAATATCCTCAAAATGGATAGAATTTTGAAAAATTTAATTTATTTTTATTCCAAATGTAACGTGTATTCCATTAGGCAAATATATTTTGTAAATTTTTAATTCCAAAAATATTTGTAAAATATATATGAATTCCGCTGTTTTTCTACATTATCGACATATGCTAATCAAAGTTTAATTCTGTTTATGAAATTCATTTCAATTTTGTTCAATCTCATTTATTTCTTTTTCGTTTTTATTAATACTTTTAATTCTATTTAATTCTCAGCCTTGTTATCGGGAAGAAAATTAAAAAATAATGATTATTTGTTTATATTAATTGAGTCGCCAGAAAGTAAAAGGGCGCATAAAATTTGTACGGCCGGCCAACTCGAATGGCAGTACAAATTTTATGCGCCCTTTTACTTTCCGGCGGCTCAATTTTTCGAACTTTTTGCGATCGTATTTTCAGGATTTGTAATAATTTGGAAATAAAAAAAAAAAATAAAAGTCAAAATGTTAAAAAAAATGATGATTTAACAAAAGATTTTGAATCAACATAATTTTTTTTTCAAAGAATGTATATGTAACTAGATCTAAAATTATACGAAGCTGAAGTACGCAACGTTTATGGTAATCTATTTTTAAAGAAATAATTTTTTAAAATGAAAAATTCTATAATATTTTGCATAAAAAATATTCTTTTTATATAATTTTTTGATTACTGAAAACTACAAAAAATATTTTTATTTTATTTTATTTTCATTTAAAAAAATTATTTCTTTAAAAATTGTTTATCATAAACGTTGCGTACTTCAGCTTCGTAAAATTATTTAAAATTAATTTTTATTTAAGTGTATGTGAGAACCTCCCACGTGACCTAGTATGGGAAAATGTGTTTTGCAATATTCCAACTTTTTCTAAAATGAAAAAAGATTTTTGTCTAAAATTTTGAGGGATTATAGATTAGGGTACAAGGAATCTTGCTGTTCTCCGAAAAATACATAATTTTGCGTTAAATTATTAAAAAATGAAGTTTAAAAAGTGTCAATTTTAAACGAAAATGAAAACAAAGATAGCGGCGCACACACAGACGTTGCTGGAGTGTGTCAGTGCTCCAGTAAACAGCGCCAATTCGAGCAAGTGGCCGCTGAATGACCTATGATATAATACATTATTTTACTATTTATTGCTTTATTTTTATTAATTTTGCGTTAAGTTATGGTAAATGAGTAGAACAGCGAGATTCCTTGTACCAAACAAAATCATTTCTCTAAAATTTTAACTCAAAAACGGTGACTTTTTTTTAAAGCAGTTGTTATCAAAAAGATAAAAAAAAATTTTTGGACAGAAAGTATAAATAATTTATATTAGTATGGTAATTTAATTCAAATAATTGAATTAATAACTCAAAAATTATATGAAAGAAAACTATTTTTACATAAATTATATTTAAATGGTAATTTAGAAAAATAAATTCATTCCACCTACCCTTTTATAAAAGTTGAAACAATTTTCGTAGATCAGATATTTGTGACTTGAATGAAAAGTTTTTGATCGAGAGAGAGAGAGAGACTTCTTTAATGAGGGCAATAAAATAAAAGACTTTATTTTGAGAAAAATATATTATAGAATCGCAGAATTCGGCTTTTTTAGACTTTAACTTTATTTTCGTAATTTCGTAATTCAAAGTCTTCATAATATCTGATTTGCGATAAAAGTTCACTGCCTCTTTAAATTGAAATGTAAGAAAAATTATATGAAAAACAAAGCATTTTGTAAAATAAAATGTTCTTGTTTCGTAATAATATATGCTTCCGCATTGCTTCTTGATGTTGGACATCTGACAACATTGATAAGCGTGTTTGTTTTAATTGACTCCGTAAGATATCATTTTTTTTTTCTTCATAAAACGAAAGATAACTTCTGTTAAGCTGGAAATAAAATATTAATAGTATATCTAGTAAATAATAGAAAAATATATTACGATTTATACAGATGAGTGGTTTGCACTCAAGTGTATCGTAAGGTATTTTTCTCAGTACGTACAGATATATAGGTTTAAAAAAAAAAAACTATATGAGGCTGAAATCAGCAACGTTTTCAAAAACGAAAAATTAAAAAATAAATATTTTTTCAAGACAATTTATTTCTAATTTTGATTTGCACAAACTTTCAAGAAATTAATACTTTTATTAGTAACCCCCGAATAACTTTAATTTTAAGCCAAAGAAGTAATAATCGTCACATATATATATTTCGATTCCAATGTAAAAAGGTAATTTCTGTGACTACAAACAAAAACCAATGTTTACATTTGTATTTAACATTATAATTTTTCGTGAAAAGTGGTTTTTAAGGCTGAAAACGTCAAAATTTCACCTGTCCCCACAGGATGTTTAAACAAAAAACTTAATATTTTTAGCAATGTGCACTAATAAATACAATTTCTGTTGCTATTTTAGTATTGTATATTTTAGTGGAATTGAATAAAAAAAACGTTTGATCAAGAAAATAATTATTTTCTTTTTTTTGCTATTTATACTTGACTGCACGTTTGTGTGTTATTCTGCGTTTTATTATTTAACATTGAATTATTTAAATAAAAGTCAAATGTTAATATAGTTCTACTTCAGTAACAACAAAAGTTATATTCCTTAAGTTGATCCATGAAGGAAGTAATCAATTTTCTAATTGATTTATCCTTTTTTTACACATTTCAAGATTCAAATTTGTACAGGGCATCACAAAATCGTCTCCACCGGCATCCACCGACCCTACAATATTTTTTAAAAAAATAGAATATAATTAAATAATAAAGGTTAAATAAAGTGCATAGTTATATTATTTTAGTCTATATATATGTGAAACATATGAAAACGATTAAAAATAAATGATAATTTTCTCAAAAAAAAAAAAAAAAAAATTATTAACGCCAGTTCTACCGACCCCAGCGTCTCCACCCGCCACAGAATTTCCACCGTCACTAGTGCAAGTTTAATACACAATGAAACAAACGAAATTAAAAATATTTATTATAAACTATCATAGCTCCGGTAACTTTACTATAACTAACCAAATAAATTTCTATAAATTACCGTATAAATTTCCATAAATTACCGCGGAAATTTCCGTAAATTACCAAAATTATAATTTTTCATTGTAATTTATGCTTTAAATATTTTTATGAATTTTAGACAAAATTTCTATAAATTTCCATAAATTACCTCGAAAATTTCCGTAAATTACCGAAATAAAAATTTTTAATTATCGTTCGCGTTATATATTTTTTTGTAAATTACTGCGAAAATTTTCATAAATTACCGAAATTAAAATTTTTAATTGCGATTTATGCTTTACATATTTTTATGAATTACAGCCAAAATTTCTCTAAATTACCGTATAAATTTCCATAAATTTTCATAAATTACCGAAATTAAAATTTTTAATTGCGATTTATGCTTTACATATTTTTATGAATTATAGCCAAAATTTCTATAAATTTTCATAAATTACCGCATAAATTTCCATAAATTACCTCGAAAATTTCCGTAAATTACCAAAATTAAAATTTTTAATTGTTATTTATGCTTTACATATTTTTATGAATTTTAGACAAAATTTCTATAAATTACCGCATAAATTTCCATAAATTACCTCAAAAATTTCCGTAAATTACTAAAATTAAAATTTTTAATTGTTATTTATGTTTTACATATTTTTATGAATTTTAGACAAAATTTCTATAAATTACCGTATAAATTTCCATAAATTACCTCGAAAATTTCCGTAAATTACCGAAATAAAAATTTTTAATTGTCGTTCGCGTTATATATATATTTTTGTGAATTACCCCAAAAATTTCCATAAACATTTTAAATCAAATTTCAACTATTTTATAGAATTCAAATAGCAAAGAATTTTTTTTTAAATTTGTTTAAAAAAATTAAAAAATTATAAAGAATTTTTCCCGTCCACCATGGATATTTATTTCTTGACACTTTATCTTCAAAAATATGTATTGATATTTATCATTTCGATAAAAAAATATTTTTAAAGTTTCAGACACCAAATCGTGCACTACGCGGAGAATCACCCATATATATTGTATATATACAAAATTCATTTTATTTGATTGATTCAAATTAATTGAAGTGTAAAAATTGTTTGCTCTTTCATTTACAGATTTGAATATTCGAGGGATATGAAATTTTTGTATTGTGTAAAAATTGGATTTTTTTTTCTGTTGTATATATAGATGGCTACTGTGAAAAATAATTTTACGCCCAGGGCGTAAATGTACAAAATCATCGAATGAAGAGGAAAAGAAATCCAGCAAATGTATAAAAATGAATGATATAGAAAGCATCGGTATGAAAATGCCTCACAGTCATTCGACACCAGCCGGTGTCGATGGCGGAAGTCGAACGCCGCCCACAACCCCTAGAAAAGCTGGAAAGATGCTTGCGGTCCGAATACAGATGCTTGACGACACCATCACGATGTTTCAAGTGCAGGTAATTTATTGATTTTACTTTAACGAATGAGACTAGACCCACTTTTGTCTCTCTCTCTCTCTCTCCCTCTCTTCCGCTCTCTCTCTACTCTATCAAAGGTCGCTTCTTAAAGATTAAACCAATTTGTATCAATTTATTTCGCTACCCAGAAACCTAATAAACTTTAATGCTCTTATAAGCGACCGTTTACCTTCGCTGAACTCACTTGAACTTAACTCTTGAAGATTCAAATCTTTGATTATAAAAAATAATCATTTTTTTTTTCATTACTAAAATATTGGATCTCAAATTGAATATTATATAGATTTAATAAATAATTTTTAAAATATTTTTTTATGCAATGATTGTAATTTCTTTTTTGATTTAAAAAACAAGACAAAATTGATTGTGAATTGATAAAAAAAATAAAATTTTACTTTAAGGGCATGCTGAAGAGAGCGATATGACCGTGAAACCGGGAAATGACAGCGGGAATTTAAAAAATGCCCGGTGAAAAAAAGGGAAATTCATAGTTAAACCGAGAATTTGTCAGATATTCTAAAAATTTATATCGTTTATTACATCTTGCTGCATTCATTTCTCAGAAAAATTTAATAATAAAAAATAAAAAAGTTATGAATTTTTTTTTTTTCGGAAAAATGATCATTTTTTGTGTGAAAGAGTTAAATTATTTACAAAATTTTGACCGAAAAATAGAGAAAAATGACCGTGAATTTATAGACATAAAAATTATCTCTCCACCCTTAGAGCGCATAATTTTTCCATAAAAATTATTGGTTAAAATTTTCATTTTAAAGGATTTTATATTTTTTAGACGCATTTTTATTTTTCGAATTAGTATTTGACAGAATTTTTTTTAATTTTTATTTTACCGAATTTCTACCAAATAATAATAATAATAATAAACTTTTTATTTAAAAAATTCTAATTTAATCGCATATTAATTTAGCAGAATTCTCATTTAACAAAAATTTTAAGTGATTTTTATTTTTAAATGACAAAATTTTCAATTCACCAAATCTTGATTTCTATGAATTTTAATTTGAACGAATTTTTAAAATCTTTTAAATACAGAAAGCAATTTTATTTTATGGTAAAATGTTAAATTAAAAAGGTAGTAAATAAATTTTTCGTTTACTTGAACGTTCACAATTTCAGGCACATTTGTTCTTATTTGATAGAATTCTTAAAAAGCCGAATTTCAATTTGTCCGAAATTGGAAATGACCGAAAAACAATCAACAGAAAAATTTTAGCCCCGTTTCTTTTTTTTTAAATTGACCAATCAGAAATTATCAAAAAAATTGTGATTGTTTAATTTTAAATTAATTAATTAATAATTGATTAATCGACGAAATAATTTCTGTCGATTGTTTGTCAGCTATTTTTAATTTCGGACAAATGAAAATTCGTCATTTTAAGACTTCTATCAAATAACAAATGTGTCTGAAGGTGAGAACGTTCAAATGAAAGAAAAATTTATTTACTACATATTTTAACTTAAAATTTTATTACAAAATATTGCTTTTTGTATTAAAAAATATATTAATAATTTATTAAATATTTCATGTAAATTTTTTTTTATTGGCGTGGTAATTTTTAAAAAAATTTATAGACCACCAAAAAAGTAATTCGTTTACTTGAACATTCAAATTTTCAGGCACATATAACTATAACAATTCGTGCAAATAAAAATTTGAACAAATGAAAATTCTGGTATTTAAAAATTTGAATCACTTAAAATTCTCTTGAATATGAGAATTCTGCTTAATTAATATTCGGTTAAATAAGAATTTTTTAAATAAAAAGTTGGGAAGAGAGAAATTCTGTAAAATAAAAATTTTGTCATACAAAAATTAGATACCTATCTTTAAGAATTTATTTTTAAAAAAATTCGTTTAAAAACAAATTCCGTCAAATTTTGATTCTAAAAATGAAAATTCTAACCACTGATTTTTATCCGAAATAAATTTTTTCCAAAATTGATTTTTATATCAAAAACAAAAAAATTTTCTTGCAATTAACGCTTCAAAATACATAAATATACACGTAGTATCAAAAAAAAATTTTGATTTATTTTTGAAAAAAATTTTTATTTTCGAAAAATTGAAAAAATAATTTTCTCACAATTGGACCAGGCTTTAATTTTTTGTAAAATGAAGTAGTTTTTTTGGAAAATTATTTCATAAATAATCCAAGGATACAATAAATAATTTTAATAATATGATTTTAATTTTTAATTTGGAAAAATTTAGTAAATAATTATTTTTCCATTATTTTTTGTATCTTTTCGAAAAATTTAAAAAACAAAAAAAACTCTTTAAATTGATGCATTTTTTAGAAAGTTATGAGCATTCAAAAAAATATCTTTTAATATATAAAAATTTCTATTTCGTAAACGGCTTGATAAAAAAAAATTCGATAAAATCATGGAAACCTTTTTCGTAGAGTATACACACAGATAAAAAAAAATTGTCAAAGTTTTATATTGAACCTCCTTAAAGCTTTAAATCATTTTTTTTTTTTTTTTTTTTTTTTGAAACAAAAGTGATTTTTAATGAATTTTTGAATAATATACTTCATATTCATTAATAGAATTAAAATTGATTAATTCTGCATTATCATTTTTCTTTTTTGAAATTTTAATATCCTGAAGATAAATAATCTTCGATTTACATTATGCTAAACGTCTTGGAGAAAAATTGTTTATAAGTCTTGTTTCAACATTATTCTTGAATGTTTTTAAACAACTTATTCACTTCATTATATTAGATTATACACGCCTTGTGAGTCATAAGAAGCTTAATTCTTTTTTAAAATGCTACTGTTATTATATGTATGTATATAATAATATAATTTTCATGTTCTAAACATTCCGGTGAATGGAATCTAAATTTCTAATTTGAAAATTAATTTTTCTTAAAAAAGTGAAAATTTTTAAAAATTATTTGCAAAAAAAAAAATTATAAATTAATGTTTATATTATTGCAATAATATGTGTTTTACTTTTTTTTTGTTGCAATTTTTCATTTTATTTTATTTTTTTTCTGTATATTTTATAACTGAAAATCACACTTATGAATATAATCATTGACATCATAATTATTGCATAAGATGATATTTACCTGAAAACAAAATCTTTATATCTCTTTCAATTATTCATTGTATTACTATATTTGTACAAATATTCAATTTTTCATACAAATGGAGTGCAGATTTATTTATGATATCTCTGATCTTTTTGGTATAATTCCAATTTCTCATTATATTTACTTCTTTTCATCTTTTATTAAATTGAATCTGGAACTTGAATCAAGAAAAAAAATTATATAAATATATTAATAAATAATCTTTGTGATATTTTCAATAATGTCAATACTTAGCAATATTAAAAAAAATAATTTTTTTTAATAAATTAAAAATGAAAAAGTAAATGTAAAATTAATATTTTTTCATTTATAGGACTCACTTTCTGAATATTTTTTCTGTTACAGACAATTTTAGATCTTTAACTATGATTTTAAGTAAAAAAAAAAAATTTCTTAATTTTTTTGGAGAAAAAAAAATTTATTTTTTTTAAAAATGATAATTTTTTATTTTTTTACACAAAGTCTTTGGTAATTTTTATCTATATGTAATTTTCAAATTTTTGTTTATATAGAAATATTGTTAAATCTCTACTTTCATATTATGGAAATATTTTTATATTCATATTTTTATTTATTTAAAAATAATAGACTAATATAATACAGACAAGAATAAAATGATAATTGAATTAAAGAATAATAATTTTTTTTCGACCTAAAAAATTGAAATTCTATTTTTAAAAGTTGTTGAGAATATTTAACCATTAGAGACAATTTACGTGTTACCTGCGATGCTCACTTGACTTTTAATTCATGCACATTAGAATTGATTGATCTCAGATTTGCTGTGTGTGCATTTTAGCGTAACCATTGACTATCGAGGTCAAGGGGCGTGGGCCGTGAAACTACTTCTAATGATCTTCGTAAAATTCTTCTTCAATATATTCGATATCTTCAATTTTTTAATTAATCAACGTTAACGGATATACTCATATTATCGTTGTTTCAATTTTTTTTCAGTTCCATTACAAAACATAATTGAAAAAAAAAAAATATAACAATATTATTTTTTAATTTTATTAAATATTGTAGAAATTTATTTTCTAAAATTCAATTTTTTTTTTAAAAATCTTTTAATTTAAAATTATTCTACAAAAGTAGAATTATAATTTTATTGAAAAAAAAGAACAAAATGAGACATGAAATTGAAACAATCATGTTGAGAGGATATGAAAAAAAAAATGATTTTAATTTTAATAATTGTCAATTTGAAATGCAGACAACTTTGGCCTTGATAATCTTGGGCATGAAATCGCTTAAAATACTAAATTATCGTTTAACCAATTCACCTTGTCTGTCTCACCCTTTATATATATAAAATACATATCACTCTTGAAACTTTATATAATCTTTACACAATGTGAACTATTAGGGCGTATAAGTTATTGGTTATGCTTCCACCATATAATGTAGACGTAGAGAGATGCAAGCTCTTTTATTGATTTCTTCTTGCAGCTTCACATGCATAGTATATAAAAACTTATATACTTTTTCCTAATGCACATAGTTTTTTTTCAAGATTATATAGTTTTATATTTCCGGTTTTCTCTTTCGTTTTGGTTCATTTTCTATAGAGAGAATTTTGTACCTATATATATTTCTGAATTTTTAATAGTGAATAAAAATAATTTTTTTTTTTTAATTATAACTGCATAATGAGGAAAAATAATTATTTATTAAATATTTTTTTATGAATTTGTTAATTTATTTTTGTACTTTATTTATTTTTATTTTTGTACCTTTTATTGCTAATAATTATTTTTCTATTGTTTATTTTAGTTTAGTTTACAGGCTACAGACCCTTCACAAAGAAAAAAAAGAAAATTATTATTAAACTAGCAAAATTAAACGCGCG